TTAAAGCATCTTAAAGATAAACTCCAGTTCTGGTAATTCGATTGCATTGTGAAAGAAAAGGTGTGGAATGGATCAGAAACAGTTGATCATGTAGCATGTAAGTATTGGTGAGCACTGCAAGGTTCTGGAGTCATCAACATCATAATAAATTTGGCCGAGTGTTGGTTAAGTAACAAGCACTGTACACAGGAAGCTACATATGGGACAACACACATGGTGTCGGGCTAGTACTACCTTGATTTTCTTGTCTTTCTATGCTCATTACTCAGCCAGTATACATTTTCTTCCAAAATTGTTTGGCAAATGTCATTTATTTGTAATCTTGAACATTCAGTGTAAGTTTCGTTTGATTCTGTGAGAATTATTATTATTTTTTTTTTACCAGAACTGGAGTTTATCTTTAATCATGCTTTTGACAATGTTCGTGTTCGACGTTCCTATGTTGTGGTGTATCTCGGCATGCATAAGATACCGTCTTCATATTTGGCATATCTGGACAGTAAAGTGAGACGGGAATGTAGTCACATGGAATTTGGGTCTTGTTCGTTGGTCCTACGTTATGGAATATTTAGGATACTAATGACAGAAGCGTGACAACTATAGCTCGGTATATAAATAAGACGCGTTTCTCATCACGTATAATCTTAATCTTCTTCGCTGTCCTTACATTGTGCATTTCCTTGACATGCTTTACGGTACAAAGATAACGTCCTGACATCCGACATGATTGGACAGTGGAATAAGACGATTTTTTCTGTCGTATTTTTAAATGTCAAGCAGTATGTCTTTACACCCCCTAAGAATCCAAATCATATGTGATTACAATCAATCACCGAATGCGTCTTTAATTCATAGCTTACATTTGGTTTCAGATAAAGATAGAGTCGTATCTTCTAGATCGGTTCTGACTAGGGTTTCGTTGACACGGATCGTTCTTCTCTTATCAAAGTACAATCTCATCCGTACATCTTACATCATAAAAGACATCGTCACTTTCACGATTGGCTTGATCAGTGATTGAGACATTAAAAAAATGCTACATGTGTGCATTCATCCGATGTTCACTCCTTTAATTCATGTTAAATGTTTGCCAATCATACGCTTCGTGCTACTTTCCTACGAATGTCACCTTCATTGCACATCAGTAATACAGCACTCAAGATTGAATACGTGGGACCATGGTGTGACTATTATGGGAGAATTTAAAAACTTTGGAATCAGTGAGCTAAATTCTGTGTCCTTGGTGACGATTTATGCACCCATTGGGGATTCCAAAGACGGAAATCCTTCCTATCAATATCTGATCTCATTTTACAAAATTTAAGAGGATGAAACCAAAAAATGCTTAATCAATCGTGTTTAATTTCTTGTAAACTGGCCGACTTTCTTTGCTATTGGATTAGGATCACACCCCCATTTACCCATTAGAGGTAAAGATAGGAGGTATGAAGATTTAAGCTTCTGGACATGTCCCGCCACAATGTTATGCTCATTCGCTTGTTAATAAAGGGTGTATTTGACCTTATCATGTGTACAAAGAATCCACAAATCCAAAGTAAAATGTTAAACAGTGGTACTTTAAAATTTAGACGAACGTGATGTTATTCATGGACGACTGATCTAAGGGATTTAAGGTTCTCACATTTAGTGACAGGCAAAGGAACCAAACAAAACACACTGAGAGAGAGAGAGAGAGAGAGAGAGAGAGAGAGAGAGAGAGAGAAAGAAGAAGAAGCGAGAGGGAGAAAATAGGATCATTACAAAAATCGTAATGGAAAGAGATACGGGAAGAGAAGGGGCATAATAGTCAAGTGATTTACCCTAAAATGAATATAGATGTACAGGAAGGTATGTCAATCATACGTAACAATCATTATGTGTAAACGCATCATTCGGTTAATTTATATTTAAAAGAAGAAAAGGGAAAGACACATTGGTTTTCACAAGCAAAGAAGCCAAATTTCACGTGATGGCACACAAATATACATAATAGACGCCACTTCAGTATCTTTCAAGCTTACTACGCCGCCCTGAAAGACAATAGTTTTTTTTTTTCTTCCGTTTTTATTGTTATTTCTGAAACTTTTACAGAGTAAAAGCAATGAAAGACCATAGTTGCTATGAGTCTGACCAAGCAACATATTGTTACGAGCCAACGCATCTCGATCCCATTGCGACTCCTACGTGCTGAATTATTTGTTTTCAATTCAACCGTGTATCAATTATTCCGAATCCACGATTGTTGCTCGTTCAGAGATTTATAAAAAAAAAAAAAAAAACAGTTATTAGAGCAATAAAGAAACATTATTAATGACTAGACAGTTGTTAGGGTTTAAATCAGCGTTTGGATGGTACTTGTGTCGTCCATGATCGCCATGGGTCTCGTTATCAGCCAATGTGTCTCTGCAAGTCTAAAGCGAAACGGAGGCGACGCGCTATTTGAAAGAGAGGGAGTGGGAGATTTAATCGTGCATCATTGTGCAAAGAATAATCCACGGTTTTGACGAAATGTAGGAAAATGGGCTTTACATACTAAAGAGTAATTTAGAATGATGACAAAACCCGCAGGGAATGAAACGGGGGAAATTAGGCAAATAAACAGAGATGAGCAGAGTAAAACAAAAAACAGAGTGATGTCGATTAAGAGAGAACTAAAAATCGAATTGAATATATTTGGTAAATCCACAATTCTACGGATTTCTTATTTAAACATTTCCTCGTGAAGCGAATTCATTTTATTTAGAGCATGGCACAATAAATTGTCACAATTATTTCTATAACGGTAATGCGGTGTATAAACTACTGTCTAGTGATGGGAATGGATAAGATATCATCCACATTCCAAGCTAATTTCATATTCTTTCCTGTCTGCGGGTGTTTTCTTTGAATACATTTTGCGAAACCTCATTCGCGGAAGACGCTCCTAACACAGGTTTGTTATTCCACCAAAGGACTGTCTAGGGCCGTCCAGAAATACGCCAAGAATGCGGTTAAACTAACTTGAATCTAAGTCGAAAGGCACGTCTTCGGATCGATGTTGTCTACCTTCTGTCAACTACTCCTTGGCCTATCGTAAAACACCCCAAAGCGAGTCCATTACGACTTTTGGTTGTCATCGAACCCTTCAGCAAACATCAAACACCAGGTTTACAGGTGTCTTGAGATGCTGGATCTCGTCTCCAAGTGAATATTTGATTTGTTGTGTTACGTCAGCGGTGCTGTCTTGGAAGAAAAAGCCCGCACTGTAAGTTCTCGTCTAGCCGCCGACCCTATCTAATTTATCAATAATTAAGACAACTCACGTTCAATATTTCATATTGATTCGACCTCATCTTGTCACTTTGGAAATGTCAGGATGGGCTCGTGAATGACTTTGATCATAGAAGACGTCATTCTGAAGATAGAAGGTGTTTAAGAAGCTGACGAGATAAGTTCAACGTCCAATAATATAAAGGTCGGTCGAGTTACCTATGAGACCATTTTTAATCAACTTTTAGGAATATTCCTACACCACTTTATTGTCCAATTAATCCTTACATGTTATTACATGATCTACACTTTCCAATTTACTCTACTTAGTACTTTTTTCTATCGCAGTGTATGAATTTACAGTGTACATTGAAAGGAGCGATATTTCACTAATCACTATCAACACATTTCCAAGTTGTTGTAATGAGTAATACCTGCGCATGAACCGTTGTAGTTACTGGTGAAATGGTAAAGCACCATGCTATAAAACTCTCAATATAAGTTATTGTGATTCTTTAGGGTGGGGAACAATTCTGGAGTGTCGATACATTTCGAGAAACGATGGGGGGGGGGGAGCAAAATGAAAATAGTCTGAAGCAGATGCTCCGTAGGAGATACAGTTAATGCTGTGATCATCAGGGGCGAATATTCCTCCAAGTGGCGTAGCTACGAGGGGGCACGTGACCCAAATCAAAATGCTGAAAAACAAGAATGAGAGAGAGAGAGAGAAAGAGAGAGAGAGAGGGGATGGGTTAGGTAACTTGATAATGAAATAGACACGTTCCCTTCCCACACTATCCCAACTCGATGTTTTTTTTACCATATTTACTCATTAGATTTATTCATTAACCGAGAAAGAAAGTTAAAGATGAAGTTGAGTTCTGGTCATGCGATTGCATTGTGAAAGGAACAGTGTGGAATCGACTAGAAAAGGTTGATCATCTAGCATATAAGAATTTGTGTGTATTGCAAGGTTCTGGAATCATCAAAATGATAAGAAGTTTGGCCAATCTTGGTTAAGTTACAAACACTGTTCGCAGAAAGACGTATATGGGACTACACGAGCACGTGGCGTAAAAAACCTAACCCCCCCCCCCCCAAGTTCTACGATGAACATGACATATTTAGAATATGAAGGCATTTGAAGAGCCATGCTTTTCAGGAAACATGTCTTATCTGATGTTCTTCCACACTTGCATAATAAGAATGATAAAGTTCACAAATTATTTTTCACCTCTTTCCAGAACTCAACCTTCTCTTTAACCCCCTTCCACATCCCCCCCCCCCCCCCGACATCGCTTCTTCAGTGACTAAACTCACGCTACGCGTCCTCCATCCTTCCAAAGTAGAATTCTATTTTCAGAAACCTCCTTTTCCGAAACGATTGACTTATAATAAGTATATTATGCTCATTAAACATCCGCTGTATGTTTTTAAAGACGCTTAGAAGTGGGCTCTCATGGGGAATTTGACATATTTCGGGTTTTCACTAATCACAGGTTTTGTCAGTCATCAGGATAAGCCTACAATTTTTTGACCAACCGACCTTATGTAATGTTCTGCATTTTCCATCAATCACCCCAAATGGAAGAGTCAGTATCTTACGTTTCCCTCACCCGAAGACTCTCCGAGAGACTGGGAGGGGTATTTCTTGATGGGACTACTAAGTCTGGTGTCAGCGAATCATGACCTTCTGCTTCTGGAAGCAGATGACTGTCTCCCTTTAAGAGGAGGGGGAATGGGGGCAGACGATGTTGGCCGTAGGAACAAATGATGTTGGTCTCCTGACTTTTGCCATGCCTGTCCATGAATCACTCTCCCGTGGGATTGCTACCGTATTTGACAAGTAATTAAGATCTTATTACACGGTGGGCAAAGTAGCACGTTAACCCCATACATGTATTACACGTGTCTTGGCTTATGAGGTTCGGGGTCACTGCTCGTTCATTATTTAATCATGGGTTTGACACAGAATATAATATTTCCAACATCAACAGCATAGGAAGTACCATTTTTTATCAAATAATACACCTTGCACATGATTTGATTTGATTTGATTTGAGTTTATTCGTCCACAATGTGGAAATATGCTTTCCACCAGCATTACAATGATACGAGAAACAGAGTACAATAATATGAACATATGAACAATTAAGCAAGCAATTTCAGAACAGAAAAGATCTCGTCATTTCACATAAATAATACAAAATTGTTTAAGCCATCCAAAATTGTTAAACTTGATTAGATGATTAGAAATATCTTTGAAATAGCTTTATGATAACAGTTTATAAATTCAAATAATTATAATCATTATTGCTATTGTTATTATTATTAATATTATTATTATTATTATTATTATTATTATTACAATTATTATTATTATTATCTCTTAACGAATTGGTTGAACATGTGGATAGAGTTTGGTACGAAGGATTGGCGGAAGCGTGCTCGGTTTGTGCGTGGGACGTTTAATCGAATTCCAGAACGGTTGAAAGAATACTGGGTGTTGAGAGGGTGACTTTGATCTTTCATGATTTTGTTTGTTTTGGACATGAGTCTCTGTTCGAACAAACAGTTTATATCAGCCAAATCATGCCCTATCACTCTCTGTGCCGCTCGCCGCACCCGGTCTAAGCGAGTCCGGTTTTTCTGGGTCCCATTTCCGTAAAAGCAAATCACGTTGTATGTTAAAATGCTTTGTATTAGTGACTGATAGAACAAAACCAGAATTGTTCTGTCAACGTGAATATTTTTCATCATTCTCAGAAAGTAGAGTCTTTGGTTTCCCTTCTTACACAATGTTTGTGTGTTTTTAGTCCAGTCTAAAGTGTTGGTAACTATGCTTCCCAGGTACTTGTACTCCTTCACCTGTTCAACCTCCTTATTATGAAGAAATAACGGATCGTGTTTATTTGATTTTTTCCGAAAGTCAAACACCATTTCCTTTGTTTTAGATACGTTTAAGTGGAGGCAGTGCGCATCACACCACTCAATGAAAGCCTTCACCGTTGTGACATAGTCATTTACATTCTCATCAGTAAGATGTCCAGTGATTACCATATCATCAGCATATTTTATGATATTACAATTTTCATTGTCACTGATAATTTTACTAGTATACAGGGAGAAAAGGGCGGGGGATAAAACACATCCCTGCAGGGCACCTGTACTAATTACCTTGGTACAAGATTTAATCATTCCCAATCTTACTGCCTGAGGTCTTTCTAGCAAGAAATTGTGAATCCATAGAACAAGTTGGGGAGAAGTTGGGGCATCTTCTTATAAGTTGGGGCATCTTCTTATAATAATTATGATAATGATGACAATACTATTATCAATGACAATAATGATGATGATTAAAATAGTAGTAATACTACAAATAATGATGATGATATATATTCAAATTCAAGATCCAAAAATGGGAGGACAGCGATTGGGAACTTTGATAGACCTACACATCCTTATTCTCGCATGCACAATTGTGCATGTATTTCTAAGAGAGTCACTAAAGTTGTTTGCCTTTGTCAAATGTCTTTCTTTGAAGAAAAAAAAAAATATTCATAATTGCCATGCGATTTTCTTAATATTAATTGTTACATAATCTACCCATCTGGTAAAAACTGCAAGAAGATGCTTCTCACGTCTGAATCAGTATTAGGTAGACCTACCAATTCCTGTTCCGGTCAAAAAAGACCATCCGTGAGAGTGCATCGTATGAGCAGGTGATCCCTCTCCAGGGGTATTTACTCTAACAAGTATAATTCTTCCCAGCATTAATTCAACCAGTATAAGGCCTTGTCAGTAGGGTCACTGGACACTGGACACGGCGGAAGATTATCAGAGCGTAATCGATGTTGACCTCATTAGTTCGCTACCTATGCTTCACTTTAATTTCATCTTTTCCTTTCTTTCGAAGAGGTGATTACGATGACTCCTTGGCTGGCAATCAGCCGTGTTGATGCCTGCTCCTGAGAGTGTGAAAATGGCTTTTCAGTGTCAGCCCCTCTCATTTAAGATACAAAAACAATTAAGGGGTTTGATGTATATATGATGGATAAGAATTTTGATATTTTCGAGTGTTATCTTGAAATATAATGTCGTCAAAACTATTAGGCGGTTGGTACTCAAATGTAGGACTGTGGTAAATGTTGATAGAACACATTTAGATGTTTGAAACTGTGTACAATGTGATGGACATGGATAGCATCTCTGGATATATCGAATATATTTGATAGAATTTCATGGAAAAGAAAGAAATATATCAAGATAACCATATTTCATAATCATATTTGATATTGACTTCCTATATATTGCTCATGATATGCCAGGTGGTAGCACCTAAGGTCTTCACATACGTAATGTTAACCATGCATTACGTTGGCAAACGATTACGATGATCACAGCGTTCACGGAACTCCTCTTTACTTCGTCCAAGAGTGGAACACGTAGATCGACTTTTTTTTCTTTTTCAAAGGACATCAGAGCCGTGCTGAAATGCAAATCCTATGATCCTCACCACATCTCCATTCACATTATGCAAGTCAGTGTTAATTATTCACCAACAGAACATTAATACATTTAATTTGTACCATGTTCAAAGAAAGTTTAGAAGTCACGTGCAACAAACTGTTACCCAATCGAATACATCAATTAGTACATCTATTTATTGCGATAACGACTTTAAAATGTTGTAATAAATATATTCTTATTTGCTTTTCATTTTTCCATTAGGTACGTCATTTTCTGGCAAAAGGGGTATCAGAGCACAGACAACGTTGAGGGCTCGGCAACTTCAAAGCTAAAAGGGGTTGCCTACACAAACATATCCAATTCTTCCGACCTCAGAACACCCTTCCCAGAAAGATACACCAGAGTGTGGGACGTCTCAGACTACGTCATACCTGCACAGGTAGCTATCACTAATAAACAAGATCGCATAGGCTTTCGAGAAGCCAATTTAATGGCGATTTCAATACACTATCGTATCGCCTGTAGAAATCATATTCCGATAATTATGTCCTTCGTTTCGCATTTAGATGAATTACGCATTGCATTACATTAGTCTTACTTTTGTTAAAGTTTTTGCGATCGTATGATAATTTGTAAAGGCATAGTAATAATAGGTTGACAATGGTGAAAGAAATGTGTTAAAGGTATTTGAACATGAATAAATATTTAGCAGTTTTATCACAAACTTTCAGAAGTACATTAAATATATGTATCATTCACTTTTATTGTTCTTAATCCAAATTGTTCACCATAATTATTTTCAGTTCTGTAAATTCAAAAGGTTTTAGCTTTAAACAGCAATATTAAATATATGGTACAAAATATGAAAATATGATTGAATGAAAAATCATAAAGCTCAACCATATTCAGCCGTCATATATTCAGATATTGATGTAATGTCTCTTTTTAATTGGCAATCCTTGTTAGATTTTATCTTATACTTATCACCAAAATGTCCAATTTTTAATGTTTTGCTTTTGCCATTTTCTCCTTAGCAAACAAACGGGTTTTTCGTCATGACAAATATGGTTTTATCACCCATGCAATCGAGAGGCGCCTGTCCGGAAGTGAGTATAACTTTCCTTTTCTCATTCGATTTTATCTGTCTATCAATCTTGATGGATCTCTCTTTCCTCTCCTTTCTTTTATACTTCCTCATTTGTTCATGTTATATTGTAAAGCAGCATCGGAGGAACTAACACTTCAACAAGCTCTGCTTCAAGTTAGTTCCTCTTTTCTCGTGCTTTTTCTATTATATTTGTCGTTTAATTGCATATTTTTTGTGAAATAATTATTCTTGTATTATGTTTTGCATGAGATATAAAACCATTTAAATATTTTCTTCATCTATATTTCATACGTCTTTTTGTTTCCTTTTGTCCGTCTTTCTCTCCGTAACTATCTTACATTATAACCAATTGAAATTCTCTAATTATTGTAAATATCATTCGTACTTCTTTATCATGATATCTACCTGGAAACTGTAAGCGATTATGCGGTTAATACATTACAATACATGTTTGCAAAAAGTGGAAAGTGATTTGCAATCATAATTAATGCTAGATGTATAAAGTTAACCATACTTGTAGATCGTAAATTACAGTCTAATTTGTGACATATATGATGTAAACGTTAGAAAATACAATTACTTAATGTTTAAAATATGAAGTGCCACATGTCAAGTATGTTTTCCCAAATATAGTTTGTAAAATCCGACCTTCAAATCGACAAAAAGCTATTGCAACATGTAATGTTACATAATAATTATCTCTGAAATATTGCGATCTTGCTAAAAAATATGTCCTCATCCATTCCACCCGCCCCTCTCTCTTTCTCTCTCTCTCTCTCTCTCTCCCCTCTCCCTCCCCCTCCCTCTCTCTCTCTCTCTCTCATTTCCTCCATTTTGTTCATAGGATCCCGAGATTGATAGAGATGCATGCACGACTGATGTTGAATGCAAACCAGACGAGGGCATTATAACAGGCAATGGTGAGTAAAAACGAGTTTTAATAGTTTTCACTGAGGGCTACCCCCCCCCCTCCCCCTCCTGCCTTCCTATGCCTAATCATGGGGTATCATCACATCGTATTATTGAATAACACAGAGACTTCAATTATTTTAATGATTTTGTAGTGAATATCTGCGTAATCCTACCCGAGGTTTGAGAAATAAGTTCATATCTTCAGTAGATGCAATTAGATTTAATTTCCATTGATGACGTCTGGTTTGACTGATATGAATAAGGGAGTTTACAGATAGCACATGGTACAAATGACCCCAAATATCCACAGATCTTTTACACATGGAGAAGTTCCACTTTGAGCATCTTAGAATAATAACTGCCAAAGTCCTAGATGTGCTTCATGAATACCTTTTGTTTGCCCTCTTGAAAAAGAATACTTCCACCTGCGTATCTTAGAATGTACCGTTGGTGCATAAATGAATAATGTTACATAACTTTCATGAGCCCATATCCAGTATTCATCTCTGTGGGTTTTACCTTTTTGGTACAAATGACCTTTATCTGCTCATGCTCAGACTGCAACCGTAAACTGGCTTATTGATGAGGGTGAATCAGAAGAACCAGACCACCTGCTCCCGGACAAATAACCCCGGATAAACACTCCCTGACAATCGTTCCCATGGCAATTACACCCGGACAAGTACTCCCGGACAATTACCATCTAGGACAATTACTCTATAGACAACTACCTCATGAAATCTAGTGGGATATACTCAGACGCCTACCTTGAGAAAAGGACGGTTTTCCGGGCTAAATGTCATGTGGAATAAGTGTCTGGTTGTAATTGTCCGGGAAGTTATTGTCCTAGTAGTTCAAGAAGGGAAGAACAGTTAAGGATTTCGGTGAGAATCCGGAAACCTTCTTCTCAGTTGATTATTTCATAAAGTTCAATATAGTGTCACGAATCTTTGGTCCTTGTTGATGTATTTCTGTCATTTTTCGTTTGAGTGAGCAAACAATAAATTACGCATAAAAGAAAAATCGAAAGAAACTTTACACCGCTTGGCGTTCATTATGCAAATATATTTGATTACACTATGATACACTGGCAGGGAAGTAGATTGGTGGAGGTAAATATAAGACTCCATCCACACCATGGAGACCAATGGAGCAGAAACACGAAGTTGCAAACCATCCAGAGACTCCTAATAAATTGCGTTAATGACTAATTAATTATATAATTACACATCTTTATTCTCAATTTTCTTATGTATAACTGACTTTCTTATAAAACTGAAGATATGGCGTATATATTAATACTGAATGAACGCCACTAAACTATTACAAACAACAACAACAACATGGAGACCGACAACAGACGGAACCAAAATTATATTTCCCGATCTTTCGCCAACAATTGGATGGTTTGTAGTCGGCTTAGCGTCTGATTGGCGGTGTGAATTGAGCATAAAGGGAAAGACAATAACCTTTTAGTTTTAGTTTTTCTAGCAGGCCTGTAAGTGTATACTCCAGGTGTAAATTTTCAAACAAAAGGAACTAAAGTGGCACCTGTTTATCGGTTGGAAAATATCAATACAAGCTGTGTTTGTAAACGCCTGGGGTAAGAGCTAGGCTAGACTGTATGGCTATAATCGAACACACGGGCATTATTATGAATACTTTGAAATTGGGTGGGTATCTTTGTTTTGTTAATGATTTTGCGTTAGTGATATATTTTTCGTAGACTACGGATTATTGCTTGGCGATGAGGGATCTAAAGTAAAATAATGAATTTGGAGAGCCTGGATTGTTAGGAAGTTGTTTCGGAAAAATAATTTGTCATACTTTAGGTTTGATGACGCAAGAGAGAGGCCAGGTTATCATTGTTCCTGGAATTTCAGTTTTTCCAGACACTAAGATTATACATAGCTCGTTCTTAGAGTTGCTAAATTCCGTCTAGTTCATTCCAATAAGTGGCATGCAGGGGGAAAAGTTATCTGCATTTAAAAGTCGTTTAGAATTCGGTGATCAAGAATGAGGATATAAGAATAAATCACGCTCATAAATTAAATTAATCAGAAAATTCATCTGAACTAATTTCAGATAAACATGACGTAACTCCTAATCTGTCCACATGAATCATTGCGGTGGAATCAGTCAGTTCTGCTACGTCATAATAATAGCCAGAATAAAGCGGTGGGAAATGTGAGACCCATTGCAGACGTAGAAGATGAATGCATTGATAGATAAACACTTGTTATTAATGTGTGGCCACACACGTGCCTGTTTTAAAGTGGCGGAAACGGGATGCTGTTTTTAATGGTAACGCCTGTCTTTCGGGTCTGTTCGAATCCTTATGGCTTCTGACATTGCGAATACTCTAGGCAGGATTAACGTGAACACTTCCCCGTCCTGTCTTTGAGGAAAACACTGTTGGTCAAAATATAATAACCGCAATACATTGTCTGGTACTTCGTATCTTTAAAGAATACCCATTGATCTAATTCATGGTTGACCTGAGTGGGATTAAAGAAATATTACAGTGAATACGTCACCCAACCGATAACCAATCCCTTACCAAATAAAGTGCAACCTTCATCGCCTAGCTATACCCGTCTTGAATTGACTGTTGTATGAGAACGCAAAGCGACAAATTTGGCAATAAAATTTCCCGCCTAATCGAACTGCCCCGACCTTGGGGGACGCCAATTGAAACCCATTTGTATAACACGTCATGCCTGGGTTAGCTGAACTTGGAGAGAGTGTGAGAAGTAAAGGGGTAAGGAAAGAGAGAAAGAGAGATTGAAAGAGAGCAAGAGAGATGAAGAGGAGGGAATTGAGAGAGATTGAGAGGGGAAAGAGAGTGAATCAGCTATAAAAAGAGAGGAAAGGGAGAAGGGAGACAAGGGTAATAGGGAGATAGAAAGGTGGGAAGAGAGGGAGAGAGACAGAGAGAGCGAAAGAGACAGACAGAGAGAAAGACAGAGAAAGAGAGAGAGAGGAAGAGAGAGAAAGAGAGGGGAAGGTAACACATACCTGTAATAACAGAAGACGGGACTGAACCACGTGTCAAGGCCATTATCACACTCGTACTAACCCCTACTTAAAACCGATACCGAAGCCTGAATATCGATTGCCCTCCAGTCCGCCAGACGATAGGTCTGTTTTATGCAGACTTTTCCTTCTATAACGCTCAATTCTGCTTTCCGATGCGATAGGTTTTCTCCATGCCTACACTTTGTCCGTATTTTCATGAGCGCCAAAGGAAATGCAGCATATATGCATGTTAAACCGCCTAAAGTGCCGGCAAACCGCTCGACGCGATAACTTTGTTTTGAGTTTTGTTGTTGTTCAAGACTGTTGATGCAGTATTTCAATCATGTCCGCTCTACGATTCGTGACACGGGCTTCGTCGGACGTCGGTCACATGTCCTCGTCACACGTTTTTCCCCCTTTTAGTTCATACCTCAGTCACACCGATTGACCAGACTGCCCCAAACTTACCGATAACCGACAAACATTTCCCATTCGGGGTAAATTAAGGTTCCTCGGTTGTTTGTTTGGTATTGTTTTTTATTGGTCTATTATAACTCTGACGTCGTTGTGACAGGCAAATCACAATAATACATTTTTGAAGGGTTATCAAAGAAGTATGCACAAAAAAGTTGTTGGTGTGACATTTATGGAGTTTTTCAGGGTTAGATTTCCCTTTTTTCATAACAATAAAAATTACATATATAGGAAGATGACACCTAGTAAATTTGATTACTCGGGATGAATATTTTAGACGGTACGGGCTTCACGAATCAAATCCTCGCATTAATTAAAATATATATGTAAATCATATTTTGCGGCTACACGATCAATAAGACATTTTGAAATTTTGTTAAAATCGACCAAATTCAGGTAAATCTAAATAACAAATTTGACTTAAGACTACATTACTACAAAACTACATCTGCTTTTTTATTAAAATTTTTGTCGGGGTACCACCAGAATAATGAATACAACACCGGCGTAAATGTATTTTTATTTTTCTTACATTTTTTACAGTTATTTAGACATCTTTCTTCTTGAGCATAAAACAAGGCTGAAAAACAAATTTATTCCGAAAAATATTATTTGTTTCCTCATATTTTTTTTGTTTTTGTTATGCTACGAACATCTGATGTGCTCAGAGGGTAGACTAGATTAGTTCAAATGGGTTCAGGAAAGGTTTATTTGATTCATGCAGCATGTATTTCAACAAATCAGTATCTTCTTTCTACTGCAATTTAATCAGACGAACTATCGCAGGAGTTATCGCTCCCGTCATGCGTATCGATCGTCGATCGCTCAAACTCGCTTGCTCGTACATTAATGTTAATCAATCTACTCGCGAGAGAATGCGGCGGTTTTCTACAGAACAACTTTGGCTGGAAAACGACTAAGGTGGTTCATGTTTCGTAATTCAACCAGACGGTGAGGTATCCGTTTAGCTGAGAATGGCGCCGATTTAGGAATTAAAGAAATGCCGGGGCGTAACCATTCAAAAGATTAATGCTTTGAATACTATCAGTTTCATGATCTTTGAGGGATCGTACGTTGAAAGCGAGTAAACTTTGTAAATTCTCAGGGATATGCTTATGAATCTTATTAGGAATGTCTTGCTTTTACACAAGGTTCCCCTTTTAAAGAAATGTTGCATCTGCAGATTTCATGCGCATAGAAAAGACACCATTTGGTGTTTACCAGTCCAGTACGTAGTAATATCATCACTAATAGATCATATTCTAGTTTTATAGTGCTCTGTCTCCGATCGGATCATTGACTCATGAATAATTATTCATTGCAGGAGTGAGCCAGAATATCACATTCATGCCACATGAGCTGAAAAAGGAAGATTTTTGCACACTGTTGTTTTAAGAAGAAGAAAAAAACGTACTGAGGACTATTTGTCAAATGCGTGCGCTTGTTCTGCGCATAAGTGCTAGCTAGATATAGAAAGTCTCAACGGACTCGTTTTTAAGCTACCCACAAAATAAGA